TTTTTAGTAGAGATGGGGTTTCACCATGTTGGCCAGGCTGGTCTCTTAACTCCTGACCTCAAGTGATCCACCCACCTCAGCCTCCCAAAGTGCTGGGGTTACGGGCATGAGCCACCACACCCGGCCCTTACTTTATTTTATTTTTATTTATTTATTTTAATTTGAGACTGAGTCTCACTCTGTCACCCAGGCTGGAGTGCAGTGGCATGATCTCGGCTCTCTGCAACTTCTGCCTCCCAGGTTCAAGTGATCCTCCCACCTCAGCCTCCCAAGTGGCTGCGATTTTGATAATTGCACTGTGATTATGTAAGAGAACGTCTATTAGGACATACATATGAAATGTTTAGGGGTAATGGAGCATGATGTCTCCAACTTTTTGTTGTGGAAAAAAGTATATATATGCATACCCACATATAGTCGAGAGAAGATGATAAAGCAGATGGGGCAGAATATTAAAACGTATGATTATCTGACTATACCCAATGCATCAGGGGTTAAAAGAAAAAAGAAAAAACCACCACCACCACCAACAACAACAAAAAAACACATATGATTAATCTGGGTGAAGGTTATGTGGGATTTCTTTGTGCTGTTCTTGCAAGTTTTCTGCAAGTTTTTGAATTACAACAAATTAGAAAAGTATAACTGAATTGGTGTTGATTATTGACTCATTTACTTTTCTGTGCTTCCTTGCAGAATAGCTTTTAAACCAAAATGCTTAATTATACCTTCAAATTCTGGGATTCTTCAGATTGCAGAAGAGTCTATAATAGGCTTAAAAACAACTGTGTATTAACATCAGTGGGAGATCAAGGAAAATTTCAGTTTGCAGTTCGGTGGGAAGACTGAACAACTCTGCATTTCTACTTTAACAGTGTGGTTTCATGATGGGTTTTGAAGAACTGCAAATTTAAAAAATATCAGACAAAGCCATACTCAAATAAAAACATTCTTAAAAACTGCTGCCATCTAGATATTTTCAAAAATACAATTTTTTTTTTTAAGAGATGGGGTCTTGCTATATTGCCCAGGCTGGAGTGTAGTTGCTATTCACAGGCGCTATCCCACTACTGATCAGCACAGGAGTTTTGATCTGCTCCATTTCTGACCTGGGATGGTTCACCCCTCCTTAGGCAACATGGTGGTCCCCCACTCCCAGGAGGTCACCATATTGATGCCGAATTTAGTGTGGACACCCCATTGGCATAGCGCATTACAGCCCAGAACTCCTGGGCTCAAGCGATCCTCCCACCTCAGCCTCCTGAGTAGCTGGGACTACAGGCACATGCCACCGTGCCCAGCAAAAATACAATTTTTTTCTGTATGCTTTATTGGTACAAATTAGAGACTAGTTCCAATTACTGCTTGGCTTATGAAATAGCTGGGATTATGCTTGTTTTATTATTTGTAGTTCAAATCTAAAACTCTTAATGTTATGTTAAGCCTGTTTAAGTACCACTTTTCCTTCTTAAATATTTTTCTGACTTTAATATTATTTTTGTCCTTTTTTTTTTTTAAGGAAGCCTGGGCAACATAGTGAGACCCTGTCTGTATAAAAAAAATTAGCCAGGTGTGGTGGTGTGTGCCTGTAGTCCCAGCTATTTGGGAAGCTGAGGTGGAAGGATCACTTGAGCCTGGGAGGTTGAGGTTGCAGTGAGCCATGATTGTACACTGCATTCTAGCCTGCTGCCATGTAGATTCTGTGACAGAGTGAGACCCTGTCTACAAAAGACAAAAAAAACTTAAAAACCAGAGAAGAAAACAATTACCCATAATCAATAATCATTCATTCCAGAAGTAACTGCTGTTAAGAGTATTTTCTTTCTATAGTTTAAAAAATATATAATCAGCATATACTTGTATACAGTTTAACCATGCTTTGTTCACGTAACATGCCATGAACATCCTCCCACATCATTAAAAATTCTTTACCATTATTGTTTTTAAACTTTTAATAATATTCCATCATATGGTGTATCACAATTACTTTTTTTCTGAGTTATTTTTAAAGGCAAGTAACTAATTTGTATTTGTTACAACATAGGAAACATACAGAAGATGAATATTTTAATTTATGCAGTTTACCAATAGAAGTAATTGGACCTCTGTTTTTCTTGGTCCTTGATTTCTGTTATCTTTTGAGAAACATCATTTGGAAGAAAAGCTTTTAAAAGTTACATTACCAACATTTGTTATAGTAAAGAATAAACTGGAAGTATGCTTTTTTTTTTTTTGTATGAAAAAGGATCCT